GAAGTTGCCACGGACAAAGCCTGACTGTTGGGGAGGGGGTTTTCGAGAAGGCCTTTGAGTGGGTGCGATATTGCTTATCCTAACAAGGATGTTCCTTGACTAAGCGAATACTTTTGTAACAAAAGGAGGGCCTGGGCGCCTACGGAGGCCCATCATCTTCGTTTCCTGGTTTCATTCGAGGCAAGGGAGGGGAGCTAGGATAGGTGGATATGAGGACTAAATGGCATAGATCCTTTGCCGGTTGACTAAGTAACGTACGTTTGGAGCGGAAAGGTTCTGGTTCGCTCTGAAACACATCTTCGGTCATCGGGCTTGCAATGGATGCTTGCTTGGGGGCAGTTCGGGAATATCTGTTCAGAATTGATCCTTGCGAAGCCGGCCCAAGAAGTTGGGAAGTGTTGTTGACGTGAAATACGGCTGACTGAGCTGGATCTAGTGGGCCTGCCAATAATCCGGCTTAGAAGTGTATCCACAGCGTGGAGCTTTTGTGGGTGCACAGGGGTCGTCCATCACAGATCTTCCACTCGTCCTTTTCAGGGGTTTTTTTTGCAGGCACACGATGTTTTATCACATTCCACTGGAACACGAGATATGCCTTCATCCGAAGTATTTTGGCCCCGATTTACTGGAAACTGTGAAACGAAAGCTGTTCAATGAGGTGGAGGGTACATGTACTGGGAAATATGGTTTCGTGGTTGCCGTAACCACTATTGATAACATTGGTGCTGGCCTCATTCAACCAGGTTTTTTTTGCCATGAAAGTTGCCTCCTCATACTATTACTCGTATTATATGTTGGTTTTCTCCCCATCCATCTACTCAATCACTCTTATTACTTTCACGCTATTACACTTTCTCTTCTTCTCTCCTTCTCTCTCTTTTTCTTTCGCATATCCATCTTGCAAATTAGTTACATGTCCTTTCAATACATGGCTGGTAGGAGGCTGCTGTACTGACGATTCCCACTGCTACCCACATGCATAGTCCGGTCTGTGTTTACAGCTAAGGGATGAAACACACACACACAGAGAGAGACTGCATCGTAAAATACCACCTTACTACTACTGCATCTAAACGATGAAAGACAGTTTGCACCATAAAATATCACCTTACACATGAGACGCCTGAGTACACAATCCTTCTGGTCTATTATTTCTCCGTTTTTGCTCACTCACTGCAAATAGCATTTGTTACCAAACTGAGGGCCGAACTAAATCTCAGGATTTTCTCCTTAAGCCTTTCGTTGACGCCGAACTATTAGAGCCAGTCACCACGGGTTTCGTTTTGTCCACTTCAAAATGGCGATTTCGGCATCACCAGATTGATTCGGCCTGCTCTCTGTGGACTGATACAATCGGTGTCGTGAACGGAAATCCTTTTGCAAAAGATAAGTGGTGGAAAAGGGAATCAGTCCATTCATCTTCGCTGCCTCCCGATCCTTCTAATCGTGATTTCTGTGAGCCCCTACATCCCTTATATATCATTCTAAGCATTTTCCCTCTTTTTATATGGAAAGCAGGCAAAATTACGCTGTGTATTATCTGTGTGCTACCAGAAGCAGCAAGCAGTTTTTTAATCGATTTTGCCGGCTTTTCGCGACGAATCCGGGGCAGCAAGCTTCCATTACTTCAGTAAAGCCAGCCAATTCACCTTTTAATCCCAGAGAAATCACTTGTAGTTTGTGTAGTAGCGAGTCCGACAGGTCATGAATCTGTTGCGTATCGATAGTAATTCTTCGCGAATTACATAAGCACTGCGACCGTTATAATGACGAGGTCCAGCCGTCGTGTTGAGTTAAGACGTATATGACATAGTGGACCAAAACATCTTACCTCACTTCTTATTTCCTACTCTTACTCTGACTTCCATGGTTAACCTGG